TTTTCCTTGTTGCTGTTTCTTTTTTACTGATGTGTTTCTATCGCGGCTGAGGTCACGGCATTTAGATTTTTTCCAAGGGCTGACCACCACAAAAAAAAAAAAAAGAAAGAAAGAGAGGGCAATCATGGGGTAAAATTATGGCAGTTTGGCGTCCGGTGGGCGTGTCGCTCGGGCACGCCGACCAGAGTGTGTGTGCTTGTGTTGTGTATCCCTGTAACAGGGTTATTGGTGATGCGAGTGCTGAGGCCCAGAGAGGCCGAGTGTTTGCACATGTCGTCTCGACGCTTCAGGTGACCCGACAGTTGGCCACCCTCGAGTCGAGTCTTTCGGCGGCGGAGGAGTCTGTTGCGTCCCGCTGCCAGTGACGTCTTCGAGGCGAGCGCGATGTCGCCGCCACTCAGTTCCGCGAACGCAGCGACTGTTGAGGCTGACCATTGTGTCGCGGGACGGTGCGCTGGCGCCACGGCTGGGCCCCTGCGGAATGCGGCGGCGGTTTCGGGGAACGAAAGATTCGTCGCTGCTTCTTGGAGGGATGGGTCCACCCTGAACAACTGAGCATAGAGCTGAGGGGAAGTCGGGTTCCGGGTGGACGATTCACCCCTTGATCCCCCCCTCTTACGGCGGGCCGCCCTGCCTGTTCGTGAAGTGGACTGATGGACCGAGATAGAGGAGAGGGGCGGCAACGAGAGGGATAAAAAGGACGGAGGAGACGGCGGGCGCAGAAGGGGGAACAACGATGACCAGTTAACTTTTCTTTGAATGCAAATAATCCTTTTTTTCAAGGTTCCTAAATGGACGTCCTGCTTTCATGACCTGCCTGATCTTGGTCATCCCACCCAATCTACCCCGACGACGCTACAATCTGTTAGCATTGTCTACGATTGACGTATACGCTTGAAAACAGGTGCGTCTGTGCATTCGACGTTTCGTGACCTTAAATGTTAACTTAGCGTCGCCTTCTACAAAAATAACAAAACTCTCGTTGAACAGCTCAAAATGGCGGCACCCACATCTCTTAAGCCAAATAGTCGGTACACAGCTCTCAGGAAGCCCACTCTTAGGTACGGCATGGCGGCGGCGAACGGCTCCTGACACCAAAGGTTGCGGGTTCGATTCCTGCAGCGACGATCGCATTTCAATAAAGGCGAACTGCTAGAGAGGCTCGCGTACTGGTGCGAGATCACCAGATGGCTGAAATTTTCGGAGCCCTCCCATACGGCGTGTCTGATCGTATGATTTTTGCGGCCGCGCGCCACGGTGGTCTAGTGGCTAAGGTAGTCGGCTGCTGACCGCAGGTCGCGGGATCAAATCCCGGCTGCGGCGGCTGCATTTCCGATGGAGGCGGAATTGTTGTAGGCCCGTGTAATCAGATTTGGGTGCACGTTAAAGAACCCCAGGTGGTCAAAATTTCCGGAGCCCTCCACTACGGCGTCTCTCATAATTAAATAATGGTTTTGGGACGTTAAACCCGCAAATTAATCATCAATCATGGTTTTTGCGTGCGCAACATAAACTATTATTATTATCATCATTATGAGCGACGTGCTTTCTTGTATCCAAGTCATACTATCTGTTTTCCCTTATCCAGTTTCTCAGTGCTAGGATGATATGTGGGGTTTAACGTCCCAAAACCAGCATATGGTTATGAGAAACGCCTTAGTGGAGGGCTCCAGAAATTTCGACCACCTGGGATTCTTTAACGTGCGACCAAATCTGAGCACACGGGCCTGCAGCATTTCCGCCTCCATCGGAAATGCAGCCGCCGCAGCCGGGATCCGATCCCGCGACCTGTGCATGATTTAGCAGCCCAGTACCTTAGCCACTATAAAACCACCACGGCGGTGCTCAGTGCTAGAATGATCTAGTATAATAGTTAAATTAGAGACTGCACTGACACGCTGCACGCGTATTTCATTTTCCTCCTCCCGGTAACCGGCCTAAACAGGCTAAAACTGCTTGACACGTGTTATAGCTCGGGGCAGGTCGCACGTGGCTCTATCAGAACCACGACGGGCGTTATCGATTGTTCGGATTCTTGCGTGCGGGACGCAACGTTTGAGCACATTCTGACACATACGCGCGAGCACCAATCGATAACGCTTGAGTATGCGACGAGGCATGCGCAAAAAAAAACGACGTGCTTCTCCTAAAATGCGAATATCGACGACCGTGCTTGCGGCTATTTTTTTTTTTTTGTACTGGCAGTGTTTTGGTTAGCTCCTGGGCGCAACCTCGCCAAATAGTAGTTTAGTTTTCACAGGTTTAACTGCTGCTTATCTCACCGTACCAACTGCGTGACGATATAAAATGAACAACAAACTAAAAGCGTGAGGTGGCATGCGTAATCCAACGTTCATAACAATTTGTCTAGGCACGCCATCCAATTACATTCGCTCAACCCCACCTCGGGGATTTGATTGATATGTGGGGTTTAACGTCCCAAAACCACTATATGATTATGAGAGACGCCGTAGTGGAGGGCTCCGGAAATTTAGACCACCTGGGGTTCTTTAACGTGCACCCAAATCTGAGCACACGGGCCTACAACATTTCCGCCTCCATCGGAAATGCAGCCGCCGCAGCCGGGATTCGAACCCACGCCCTGCGGGTCCCTCGGTGGTCTAGTGGCTAAGGTGGTCGTCTGCTGACCCGCAGATCGCGGGTTTGAATCCCGGCTGCGGCGGCTGCATTTCCGATGGAAACGGAAATGTTGAAGGCCCGTGTGCTCAGATTTGGGTCCACGTTAAACAGCCCCAGGAGGTCGAAATTTCCGCAGCACTCCACTACGGCATCTCTCATAATCACATAAAGATTTTGGGACGTTAAACCCCACATATCAATCAATCAAGTCAATTACATTCGCTCATCAACGGACGTCCAGCAAATTTACGTTTTTTTGGTACAGTTACTTTTGTCGTATGTATCTTCGTGTCGGTGGGTTTAGATGAATGCCTTAAGCTATTGGCATTGGCGTAGCAAGGGAGTGTTTCTGGGTCTGAGTAGTCAAAGACCTTCCCCCCCTCCCCATCTCTTGCCGCGGGAAATATTTTATTAATTTTGCATATGTAAAAAGGCACACAAGCGCACATAGAAACACGTTCCACAGGCACAATTAGTTTGATTTCCCCACTCCATGAAAATTACCAGCGGCAGCTTTTCGGAAATCTCAGGACGGCTATACCTTTTTGCAACGGTATTCCACCTTCCCCTACGGGCTGATCACCTGTCTACTCTGATTAAAACGTTTCTTATTCTAATTTCTATAATTACTGAAGTACGTAGTATCTCTTGTGATATTAAGAATGGGTCGCCAGAGAAACATTAATTTTAAAGGACGCAAAGAAAACATTGCACTTCTCTTATTTTTGGTCATTTTCGAACATATCTCATGAAACAAGTGATATACATGGAACACATGAAACTGGCCTTGCCAGTATTGGAAGCCGAAATAATATATTGGAGGGACTAGAGCACATATCCAGACCAGCTAGACATTTAAGGCATACATTCCATTTGTACGAACTCCTTGCATACATATTTATCAACTCAGAACGTGTCCTAACGCTTCTTCGGCATGCCTTCTGCAGGCTGTGTGTAGCAGTGAATACTGAGGCGAACGCGGTAAGAGTTATGAAAATTGGCGAAAAAAGAAACTAAGCTCATTAGTCCTCAATCTCCATAGCCAGCGCACACGATGAGAAAAAAAAGCGTTCCCTTCCACATTTCCCTTTGCCAGTGACGTCACTGGTTGCTTTCAATCACTGTGCGTTTCTAATAGAGATATACCAAAAGTTTCTCCTCGTGGCGGCAATGGCCCAGTGTATCTAGTGTCATGTTGCGATTATTTTCAGAATATGCTATTTAGAAATAGAATTCCTTTTGTATCTGAAGAAGCACACCTAAGGTATTTATATTTTAGTGCACAGTATAGTGTCGCCTGCTTGGATCAAAACGAAAGTTCCGGGCAATTCGATTTAGAGTAGCGACTGACGTCAGTATGACAAAACGTCACTTTCGATGTCAAAAACCCCCGTTGAGCGTCACTAGAGTCGGAGCAGATGCTGGTATCTCTCTTGAAATAAAGAAGCTACATATATGTTAATTTCGACACCACGATATCGCCTCATTCCATAGTATCATAAGAAGAGACTAGAACAACACGCTTAAGTTGTGTCGCAGAGCCACATGAAATATTAAGGAAGCTTCAGGCAGTGTAAACAGTGAACTTATCATAGGATATTGTCACGCACTACATCACTGGTGAGATTGCGTGGACTTGCTTAGGACGTAAACAGGACACTTGCGTATCAATTATTCGGAAGGACACGATATGCAAAAAAAAAAAGAAAACTCATTCTACAGCACACGTTCATGCAAGGATGCCGTATATTTCTTCATTTTTCGTTTTAGACGCTTTATGTCACGAAAATCGGCAGGCGACTGAAAATAGAGAACTTGTTTTCGTTTATTTTAAGCCAGCAGGAGGCAGGCTGTCAGACAGGTTCACTGGGCTGAATATGAGTGCTACCACCGGACAATGCAAAGCACTTACCTAAACTCGTGATAACGAGCCCACATGAGAATTAAGACACATATTCCTGTCTATCATTCGTACCATCGAAAATAGAGAGCTATGATGTCTGAAGAGGAGATCAATCATAATGTAATATCAAATGGTTGTTAAACGATACGTCGCCGAAGTAACCAGGGACCTCCTACAATACCGTATAACAATATATATCGCTTAACTGGCTGAGAAATGCAAGACAGTAATGAATGTATACAGTACACGGCTAATTAGCTAAAGTGAGCTAAATGATTTGCTTCAGCAGCCCGTTTCAAAGCGATTGCCATCACAAATCACCATCAATCATTATCGATGTAGATAATTGCTATGCGGAATACCTATAGGCCAGACTCACCTCGGATAAGTCGAGACGAACGCAGGAGCATCGGACACATCACCACCGCCGAACCGGAGCCACCCCCGAAAGGCACAGTCAGAGCACCTCGGCGTGCCTCTTCATGTGCAGCGAGAGTGGTCCGACCGGGAGAAGGCCCTGTCGCACAGCCGGCACTGGAAGGGCCGGTCGCCCGTGTGCTTGCGGTAGTGGCGCGTCAGTTCATCCGAGCGAGCAAACTTCCAGCCGCAACCCTTCCAGTTGCACTGGTAAGGCTTCTCGCCCGTGTGAGTGCGCAGGTGCGCCTTGAGGTGCGAGCTCTTGGAGTACGTCTTCGAGCATCCGGGGTAGGAACAGGTGTGCACGGTCACCTTCTTGGGACCGCGCGACCGGCGGCCCCGGCGGGGCTTGGGCGCCGCGGGCGCGACGGGCACCACACTGGGACCGGGGTAGAGTGCGGAAGGAGGCACCACTAGTCCGTCGTGCTGGAGCGGGGACGGAGGCGGCGTCGGCACCCTACCCTGCCCGAAGCACGCCCCGATCGCGGGCGGTGGCCTGAGCGGGTTGCCGCACGGAGGACCGTAGCGAGACGAGTCCGGCACGGATCCGCACCACTGGGGAGGGTAGGGACACCGCGCCGCGGCCAGGTAGCCCGACACTTTGAGGGCGCGGGCCAGGCGTACGGTGCCGGGTAGGCGGGCGGCGGTGGTATGGACGACGAAGGGGAGTCGGTGCCTCCGCAGCCGTAGGGGTGCTTCGAGTCGGCCACGGTGAGACCGAGGTCTTCGAGGAGATCGGGACGAGGCGGCGCCGTGAAGGCGGCCGCGCCGGCGAGGTGGTGCTGACCGGGACCACCGCCGCCTCCACCGCCGTGGTGGTATCCGGGGCCCGGAGCCGAGGGCGGAGGCAGGGTCGGTCGCCGAGGGGGAAGAGGGCTCGGGCCGCGGGGCTCGGGGCTGAAGCCAGGCGCCATGTCGCCCAGCAGGACGCTCTCAATGTCCTGCCACATCTGCGAACAGAGACACAGGGACGTGTGAGAAGGATTCTAGGCTGGTCGTGATAAAAACGTTTCCAAGTTGCAAAAGGAAGCACGTAAATGGTGAAGATAGAAAATGGGATCACTATCTCGCAAATATGAGAAAACGCTACGGATTCCCGATGGCTATGGGACCCAAAGCCTCCCCAAATAAAAAAAAATACCTGAAATGGTACCAGGGCGATAAGTCATACTATGCCGTGATGCAATGCCTCATTCGTCGCGAGGAGGAGAAGAGAATAAACATATGAAAACAAAGAAAAAACGATAAGTGCATGGCATAAGTTCTCAGCGAAGTACACCACAAATAAGGGTCCCTTTGTTCCCGTCTGATCAGATCGTACGTGTCTATGAATGAATGCAATAACGTTTGCCAACGACGACCAAATGCAGATGGAGGAGAGACGCATGAACAACGTTGTTCTTCGAGTTAGGTGCCACGCTGAACAACACCAGGCAGTCTACATTGATTCGGAACCCCTTACGCACATTATAAACATATCGTGGTTTTGCAAGTAATGCCCCAGCAATTATTATTATATTATTATTATTATTATTATTATTATATTATTATATATATTATTATTATCGCAGCAACTACAATAAACATGGCGAAAGACGCTTGGTTTTAAGTAGTGCCACCGTACATTCACATTTCCTAAACAAGAAATTATTATTATTATTTATTTATTTATTTATTTACAGGTACCTTACAGGCCCTTGGTTAGGGCATTGAGTAAGGGGGGCTAACAAAGACATGTACAACAAGTAAAAGGGCGAAAGGTGCCAAAACGTAAGCTCGAGACATGAGTAACAAATAAACAAGAAATAAGTAAGTATAAATTGACATCATACATCGTTACCAAAAAACTAGAAAGATGCAGTTCGTGGCACGCAGCAGTTAGGAAGTGTACAATACGTGTAAGTTAAATTGGCACAGATTGTGGTATAATACACTGGGAAAATCATGAAAGCGCTTGCAGGAAGTGTGAAAAATAAAGCACAAAAAATAAGGGGGCAATAAGCGCATTAGAAAAAAACTTTTTGCACAGCATTATGAATGTTATATACATACAAACGAAGCTGTGAACATGAAATTATCAACCAAAATGTAAGACCAATTTGTTGCGGAAAGACAGGGTTAGTGTCAGATACCAAGTTATCGGGAAGATCATTCCACAACGTGATGGCACGAGGCAAAGCGGATGCGTTAAAAGAGTTCGTTTTGCCGTACATACGCGAGAAACTAAGCCGGTTATGTAGTCTAGTTATAAATAGGGTCGTTCTATTGGAAGTCTGGTCATTTTAGTGCTATTGACGTATTTATGAAAGAGGCATAAAGAGAAATGTTGCGGCGAGTGGATAATAATTGAAGTGAATAATCCATTATAAGTTGTGTTACGCTGCAGCAGAAATTATAATTGCGAGAAATGAATCGGACTGCCCTATTTTGAACTGCCTCGATCATGTTGGTTAAGTAATTTTGGTGGGGGGACCAGATTGGTGAGGCAAATTCAAGTTGAGGTCGAACAAAAGTTCGTAAGCTAGTTTTCAAACGTTAGCGGGGGAGGAATGTAAGTTACGGCGTAGGTATCCCAGTGATCTCGAGGCATTTGCGCAGATGTTAGTGATGTGAGAGGACCATGAAAGATTTGTGTGAAGTGTAGGCCCAAATATTTGTATGTGGAAACATGCGAGAGCGGGTCATTATTTATACGGTATGAAAAAATGGAGGGGTCATGCTTACGGCTAAACGAGATGGTTTTGCATTTTGATGCGTTTAGAACCATTTGCCACGTCTCACACCATTTCAATTACATCAAGGTTTTTCTGTAGTGCGTAATGATCGTTAACATTTTTGATAGGGTGGTAGATTATGCAGTCATCGGCAAATAATCGTATGAATGATGTGACGCCATCAGGCAAGTCGTTTATAAATATAAGAAATAGCAGTGGGGCGAGCACGCTTCCCTGTGGCACCCGGAAGTTACATCGCATATTGACGGCGAATCGTTATTGATGACAGTGAACTGTTTCCGGAGAGAAAGAAAATTTCGAAGCCATGATAAGGTTAGTGAGTCTAATTGAAGAGCAGATAGCTTTGAGATTAGGCGGCAGTGGGGCACACGGTCAAACGCTTTCGAAAAGTCAAGAAAAATGCAGTCTATTTGGAGGTTGTTATTCATGTTCGAGTGAAGGTCAGTCGTGAATTCTAGCAGTTGTGTCTCGCATGACCAACCTTTCCTAAACCCATGTTGGTTGCGGAAAAAGAACTGGTTAGACTCAAGATGGTTGTAAATGTGCGAAGCGATAATGTGTTCTAATAGCTTGCAGCAAATGGATGTAAGTGAGATTGGACGGTAATTTTGGGGTAGGTGTTGGTCTCCAGACTTGAACAATGGGGTAACTTTTGCAACTTTCCAGTCGTCAGGTATCTGCCCAGACTAAAGATTGTTGAAAAATATAGCACAGAATGTTTGGTAATGGAAATTGTGTTTTTTAGTACTTTTGAGTTATATTATCAGCCCCAGCGGAGCTAGACAGCTTCAGCTTAGTTATCAGACATTCTATACCTTTAGCTGTAATTTCGATAGGTTTCATGTACTGGTAATCATAATCGGGCACGTTAGGTAATGTGGATTGGTCTTCCCGAGTAAACATTGAGGCAAAAAAAGTGTTAAAAGCAGAACAACACTGGCTGTTAGAAAGAGGTTCGTGATTCTCATCATGTAAGGTAATGTGGTTAGCATCTCGATTGCGAGATATTTCACGCCAGAATTTTTTGGGTTAGTTTTTAGGAGGGAGCCCAGGTCTGTTGAAAAATATTTAAGTTTAGCAGAACGTATAGCTGCGCAGTAGGTGTTTAAACACTGCTTATACTTATCCCACGCACTGGCTGTGCGCAGGCGTTTAGCATTTCGGTAGAGACGTTTCTTTTTATTTCTTAGTTGGTTGAGTGACTTAGCGAACCAGGCATTACACTTGTCATTAGATATCGAAATCAAAGGAATGTATTTATTAATCAAGACGGTCATTTTGTCACGGAAAAGTACCCAGTTGTCGTGGACCGAGCGATTGCTAAACGAGGTCAAGAATACCTGGTTAAAGAATATTTCAAGTTCATTGTTGATTTCGGCATAGTTAGCTTTATTATAGTCGCGAATTTTTTTAGTAGTTTTGCCGGAAAACGTTACAGGAAGATCAAGGGTTACTTCAAGAAGTCTGTGATCGCTAAGACCTTCTCGGTAGAGGACTTCCATGACTGTATCAGGGGCTGAGGTCAGTATTAAATTTAAAATATTATTTCCACGGGTGGGTTTATTGACCACCTGTACAAGATTAAAGTCAAGCGTTAGGCTGATAAACTGGGATGATATGTTACAAGGGGAGAATAGAAGGTTCCAATCAATCTGGGGAAGGTTGAAGTCTCCGAAAAGAAAGACAGTTTTAGTATGGCACAAGTTAATGGCAACAGTAATACTTTCCCTCAATTCAGCTATGAAACAACTATTGGAATCAGGAGGGCGGTAACAGTTTCCTATCAGAACGACGTTAGTAGGCTTGTTTTGCAAGCAACCCAAATTATCTCAAGGGCCGATTTTGTGTCGACAACGTAAGAACAAATTGTTTTTCTGATGCCCAAAAGAACACCCACACCTCTTGGTGGTGGTGTTCTTCGTTCTAATAAATATAGTTCGACAATGAAAGTGCCAAGCAGTAAGGTATGCAGCCCTAATTTTATAAACATAAGTCCCTGCAGTTACACAAATATAGATGGATCCTTTACTTCGTAAATGCCGAAGATTTAGGCACTCCACACACAGTTCCTATCGCATGCTTTGTGTTGATGTGTGAAAAATATTGAATGAACCAAATGATGAATCGCGCTTAACGTTGAATAAACATCCCCACCTGTTACATGCTTCTCGCCCTTCATGAGAACGGTAGGTGCGACGAAACACATTCGAAATTCGTTCAAGAAAGGCAATGTCACAAAGGGTTCTCAGGGTAAGTACGTTTCACATAGAAAACAAACAGGGATGGATGTTTGCAGCCTGGCAATCTATACACCGGCCGGCTCAGCACACAGGGCCGACAGGTTCGAGCCATAAAGATGATTGAGGAGTTGCTGTGTAGACCAAATGCGCGATGCACCTTCGCCCTAAATGATTGATTGATTGATTGATTGATTGATTGATTGATTGATTGATTGATTGATTGATTGATTGATATGTGGGTTTAACGTCCCAAAACCACCATATGATTATGAGAGACGCCGTAGTGGAGGGCTACGGAAATTTCGACCACCTGGGGTTCTTTAACGTGCACCCAAATCTGAGTACACGGGCCTACAACATTTCCGCCTCCATCGGAAATGCAGCCTCCGCAGCCGGGATTGGAACCCGCGACCTGCGGGTCAGCAGCCGAGTACCTTAGCCACTAGACCACCGCGGCGGGGCTTCGCCCTAAAAGTAGCTATGGTTTCTGTATATGTATTCCTACATTGTCGGTCACCCGTAATCAATTAAGGCCACCTGCCACAGAACTCGTCAGCATTTTGTTGGAGAAGACGTTATAGTCTGATATTGTACTCTGCCACGACGTCTCCACGCGTTCATCAATGCAGTTATAACTGAAAACAAAAATGCGTACCATGAGTGAAGAAAAATTAAAGACAGAACAAAAAGCGTCTTTTTCCGTTCTGTCCGTTATTTTCTTCCTTAATGGTACGCGTCTTGTATTTCGGTAAGCATGTACCAACTAGTCCAACAGAAAGCTTTAAGATGCAGTTATTCTCTACTCCCAGCGTACGTCACTAGTGATTACCAGTGTGGAAAATGTAGTAAACAGTGAGTTCCCACACTAACTACGGCTCTCAGCATAGGCGTCGCAAGTTTTACCAAAAACTTCTTACTCACTGAATGCTGCAGTGGCGTATACGTATACTATAAGATCGATGGCACTAATGAGTG